TGTGTGTGTGTGTGTGTGTGTGTGTGTGTGTGTGTGTGTGTGTGTCAGACAAACAGAGACAGAATGAGAGAGAGTGAGATCCAAATACAGATGTGGACAGAGGGATTGTCCCTGGAAGGAATCAGCCTTATGACAGAGTCTCCATCCTGTCCTCCTCTCTAAGATGAGTTTGTACTGCCACATTCTTTGCCAGGCAGATTCATGAAGATCAGGTGGGTAAGAAGTGGGAAGCTCTTTGGAAAGGTAAAAATGATATAAATATCAGGGCAGGGCTTACAACAAGTTTCAACTCCAGACAGAAACTATGCTAACATCCCCCGCCCCCCCTCCCCCTGCCTTTCCCTGAGCACCGCACTGTGGAGTTCCACACACACTGGAGATGTGGAAATAAGGACCAGGTGCAACACCCAGGGCACTGGCTCTCAAGAGTGAGCATGGGGTGTCGGGTGTGGGCAGTGTTAAAGCACGAGGTCTCTGGGCCATGCTTCTAAAGAGATCCCGCAGGTCCTGGGTGAGGCCTGAGGATTTGCACGACTAACAGAATCCAAAGGACACCAGTGATGCTGGCTCACGCCACAATTTGAGTACTATCAAATCAGTGTGTGTCAGATGTTAGCATGTCAGAAAATCACCTGCAGCCAGGCTGTGTACACCTGCAATCTCAGATACTTGGGAGGCAGAGATCAGGGGGATCATGGTTCAAGACTAGCCTGGGCAAAAAAGAAAAAGAGGACTGTCATATCAATAAACAAGCCGGGTGTGCTGGCACATGTCTGTGGTCCCAGCTATGTGGGAAGCAAAGGTAAGAGCGTTGAGATGTGACACTCCCATCTGATAAACAACTGAATTTACAAAACAGATTGGGGACGTGGCTCACATGGCAGAGTCTCTGCTTCACAAATGTGGGGCCCTGGATTCAAACCAGTGATGATCCAACACCACCCACTTCCCTTACCCCCAAAAAAGAATCACCTAGGAGCCTAAGACATGTAATAAAAATATATCAGTGGGGCTGGGAAGGTGGCTCAGTGGTAGAGCGCTTGCCTTGCATGCCTGAGGCCCTGGGTTCGATTCCCCAGCACCACATAAGCAAAAAAACAAACAAACATATCAGTGGGCACTATACCCAGAGAGTCAGATCTGGAAGGCTGGCAGGTAGGGCAGGAAGGGGATGGATAGGGAGGGACTAGAATTCTGCATTTCTAAAAAGCTCCCAGGACACCATGCTATTGCTAGTCGACAGACCAGCCCTTATGTGGTGGTCTACAGTCACCAACTTAGCAGCTTTGGTTGGGTGATGGTTATCACACACCTTAAAGTTGGAGACATGCTTACCCCACAGTGCAAGTCTGATGGGACTTTTAAAAGTGGAGACAATATGGACATGACACCTTGCGTTGACGTGCGATTTTACCTTCTCCAGGATGCTTTCAAAACCACTCCATTGTATGGCTCTTACAATAACTAGGGTGCCAAGAGGGCATAAGTAATGCCCATCAGAGAACCTCAGTTACTCATCAGCCCACAGCTGCTGGTAGAATGACAACACTTTCTCAGGTACCTCTTACCTGCTCAACTCTTCGAATATTTGCACACACACACACACACACACACACACACCTTAATGGTGTAAAGCATCATCCTTTGGTCAAAGCTTTTCAAATGCCTGTGGTCATATCAGTAGTGAAGAAGCTCTGTCTCCCTTAAAACTGGGGGAAACTGAGGCATCTGATGGTGAGAATGGAAGCAGGCCTAGGCTGGGAAAGGCTGTGGGGGTCTGGCCCCCACTCTTTAATGTTCACTGGCTATGGTTTGACAAGAAGGATACGAGTGATGGTTACTATGGTAACCACACTCTTATTGATGTCCATTCTTATGAGATTTTTCTTGGTGGCTTTTGTCACTCCACCTCCCCGTAAGAGAGTCGCAGAAAACCCAAGCCACATACCCAGTGCTAAAGCCCTAACCAGGGCAGGGACCATCCAGTCTGCAGGCCAGGTAACACCCGACAAATCATCTAGCATGTGATGAGATAGGTGCGTATGCTCTTTGGTCTGCTTCTATGGAGCATTGTGTATGGCCCAAGCAATGATGTTATTGATATGCAAATGACTATGGATAGAAAAGAAGCATCCCACCCTTGTGCCTGAGATGTCCACTAACCCCTCCCGTACCCCCAACGTTTCATGATGGCACCTCCTGGATGATGGGCGGAAGTGGCCTTGAGGGAACCCAAAATGGGGAAGACCTTATTACCCTAGCAGCGGGGACCGCCCCACGTCCGTGTCTCACCCTCTGCCTTTAGCCTTCTAGATCCTCGCCCCTGTGAGCCATTCCTTCGCCCTTGGGAAACAGTCCATCTCCACCACATTGTTATCACTCCCTGAGATCCATGCTGAGTGGAACTATTGCTCTGGTCAGGATCAAAAGACTAGTTGAACTGAGCCACATTGCATCTTTTTTGCTGGGACATGGGGAAAGAAAGGATTCCTAGCATGGTGCCAGGGGCTCATCATTCCCCAACCCAGTTACATCAGAATATAGGAGCCAGATAACCATATTAAAAAAACCAAATCCCAAGGAAGCCTGGCACTGGTGGCTCCTGGTAGCTACTCAGGAGGCTGAGATGTGAGGATCACAGTTCCAAGCCAGCCCAGGCAGGAAAGTCCATGAGACTCTTATCTCCAATTAACCACCGAAAAAAAAAAGCAAAAACTGGAACAAGCAGTTCAAGCAGTAGAGTGCTAACCTTGAAAGTTCAGGAACAATACCCAGGCCAAGAGTTCAAGCCCCAAGACTGGCACAAAAATCCCAAGGAAATTTCAGTGTGCAGTAAAGCCTGAGGCATGTCTGATTTCCTCCCCCACATGCCAGTGAGCTTGGCTTGAGACTCAGCTCAGCTTTGGTGACTGGGCTATGGGGCTGGAGGTATCAGAACCTACAGAGACTTTCATTCCTCCTATGATCTTCTAGCAAATCATGATTCAACCTTGGGACCTGGTTCTGATCATTATACTTCACCCTCTTGCACATGCACTTGAACTCAAGCAACAGTTATGGTACATTCACAATGGGCTATGTGATTGACATACAAAATTCCACTAATTGTAGATGAGATGGATTAAATGGCTTGCCTTCTCTGCGTATTTCTGTGTTTGTTTCCTAGAGGTGCTGTAACAAAGTACCACGCACGGGGTGACTTAATACCACTCGTTCTCTCTCAGTTCTGCGGGGTAGATGGTTAAAGTCAAGGTTTTGGTTCTAGCTAGAGGCTGTGAGGGAGATTTCCTTTTTCATGTCTTTCTCCCTCTCAGCTTCTAGAGGCTTCTAGAAATCCACAGCATTCATGGGCTCATAGCTGCATCACAACAGTCCCTGCCTGTGTCTTCACAGGGTCCTCTTCCCTGTGTCTGTGCTCACAGGGCCTTCTTATAAAGACTCATGTCCCCGGATTTAGGGCCTACCATAAGCCAATATGGCTTTGTTGTAACTAATGTCATCCTCAATGACCCTATTTCAAATTTTCAAATAAGGTCCCATTCTGAAGACCCAGGCAAACGTGGAATCTGGGAGAACCCTTCAGCTTTCCAACCCCAGTCTTCCAACTTCTGATCCAACCAGAGCCTGCCACCCACTGACAGTCCTGCGGCCAACAACTATCACCTATTGGCCCTCAGCCCTGATAGCTAGCCAAGGTGCTAAGGACAGAAGCCACAAGGCTCCAGCTGCTGCCCACCTCTGCCAACTCAGCTAGATGTTAATTCCTCTGGCATTCCCTGAAAGCTGGCTGGATGTCCCAAAGATACCTGTTGTTAATCTTGGGTCTCAACATGCAAGTACCCTTGCAAGGATCCTAGCACTGCTACCTATGAGTTCTCCAGGAGGGGAGGGGAGAGTAGGGAAGGGAAAGTAGGGGAGAGGTTTTCAACTGCTGTTCTCGGTGTATCATTAAGCTCTGTGGTTAATTCTTTCCTTTTAAATCTCTCTTTACAGGAAATGGGTACATTGAAGGCAAAGAGCTAGAAAACTTTTTCCAAGAGCTGGAAAAGGCAAGAAAAGGCTCCGGCATGGTAAGCCTGGCCACTCCTATTTATGGGGAAGTTTTCTGTCACATGACCAATATGATTATGCCACCACCCAGCAGAACTGGAGGAGCTCTGGTCTTGACACATAAGAGGGCTTTTTTAATTTATTTATAAGGATAAAAAGAAAAATTAGAATTTCCTTAAGAGCACTTTTATCTCAATATCTTCAGGTATCTGAGATTGAGAGGAAACCATGTTGGGTACCAGGGGTCATGAACTTGCTCCCCAACCCCAGCCAAAACAACCATGTATCTATGTATGCATGTACAGAATAAATACCATTTCTTCTAGAGACAGACTCCATGGCCTCCCTAAAATGCTTTGGAGGATTAAAAACTCAAGATTCAAAGCTCACTAGACCTCTAAACCCAAGTGTCTCAGCCTTGGCACTAGGGACATTTGAAGCCAAGTAGATTTTTGTTCTGTCAACTTGTCCCATGCATCACATGATGTTTAGCAGCATCCCTCGATCTGCCCATGAGATGCCAAGAGCACCTCCTCTTCGGGTCGTGGCAATAAAGCTATCTCAAGACATTACCCAATGTCCCCTGGGGTAGGACCCAGGAGAGAGCCGCTACACTCCATCAACAAAGGCTGGATCCCTAGAAGATACCTGGGAGAAAAGTGAAGGTTGCTGTGAAGGGATCTCTGAACCCCAGGTGGGCCTGACTCACCTTGTGTTAGAGGTGTCACTAATTTTTTATCTGGAGTAATTCCAGACCACATCCCAGAGCATAAATGATAGGATGCTGCTGCCTCTGGTTCCAACCGGGTTGAGAGGCACAGGAAACACTACCGTTTCCTAGAGTCTTCCTGAGGAGATGTGTAGTGTATTATAAAGCTGAGCTGATAGATCTAGTCTATTGTGGTTCCTATGTCCAGTTCTGGAATGTATGGAGCCCACTCTCTCCAACATGACCCTCTTTTCAGGTCCCTTAAGAATCCCTCTGTCCTCCCCTGCTTCATGCCCTTTGGACAATCCATTGCTAATTAGCAGCTCTTCAGAGAGCAGCTCATGAGATGAGTCAGGAATCATCCATGAACTCCTGGTTCAAAGCTCAGCAGAGTATCCTGGTGAGACGGAGGTCAAAGCTGCGGGCTTAAGAGTGTCGAGTGATTCATGGGTTTGTTTATCAATGGTTCACTCCATGAGCCTCATTACTGGGATAAAAGACCCTATATTACCAAAATCAGGGCTTCAAAGCAGACTCTGAGCTCATGAGCAAGGCAGAGGGATGTGCTCTAATGAAGTATCTCCTCAAATCCAACAATCCTCCTCTTAGTCATTCCTTTCCTCGGATGGTATCAGGCTGATTTCTGTGCTCAACAGTCCCATTGGGTGTCCTCCAGGTTTTATGAAGACGTATTATATGGTAGAAAGGACACTGACCTTGGAAGCAGGAAGTAGGAGCTCCATTTCTGACTGTATTTAACTGAGTGACCTCAAGAGAAGTCACTTCAGTTTGGACCCCATTTGTATGTCAGAGGGAAGGGATACTCACCTCACAGGGGCCCATAGTAAAAACTCTAACAGGTTGGCCTAACAGGTTGATTTTGTGAGAAATCCTTGGCATCATACTGTACACATTTGTAAATGAAAATACTGACTAGCAAATAAGGATTGGCAAATGGAGACCAATTTGGAAGCAAAACTAAAGGGCTGTAGAAAAGATTCAGAAAAAAACATCTGAATTAATAGCATTTCCCTTGGCTATTCATCTCATCTCATGGTCTACATCCTGAAGAGTTGCTAATTAGCACTGGGTTGTCCAAAGGATAGCATAAAATCAGAATAAGAACTGTTGTGGAATTGGTAGTTTATCTTTAAGGAGGAAAATAAACAATTCACCTTGCTATGGTAGAGTGCTTAGAACCTATTTGGGAACACTAGATTTGTTTGGGGTTCGGGAAATGTATCTCAGTAGTGCTGAGGGCTCAGTTTTCATATCTGAGTAATGGGAATAAGTCTAAACTCTTTTGATAGGGTTATGGTTTAATCCATGTCAGAGGCAGAGAGAGGAGCATATTGTATGGAACATGTTCATGTGTTCCAACTTCCTTTGGAAAATCCATGACTGAACTTTGAAGAAGAGATCATTTGATTGGGATGTATCCTGACAAGGAACAAGATGAATGAGTCCTGATCTCTCCAAGCACTATCTCCAGTAGTGAAGTATTTGCGTCCAGGAAACAAAACAATTCCTGACACTGCTACCCTGAGATTCAGGCTCCCCAGGATGTGGCAGCAAAAATCATCCCCCTTTCCCTGTTCACAGATGTCAAAGAGCGACAACTTTGGGGAGAAGATGAAGGAGTTCATGCAGAAGTATGACAAGAACTCCGATGGAAAAATCGAGATGGCAGAGGTGAGGGTTTGCGTGGAAGGCTTGTCTGTCCTGTGCCTCTGCCCTGCACATGCATCTTGCTAGTGACCTAACGAGGAGAGCCCCACCGCCAGGGCTTAGGCTGACCCAAGAGAACAGGTGAAGCTCTTTCTCTGTGTTATCCAAGAAAATAGGTAACAACAACCTAGGATAGGGATGGAGACTTCAAATGCCCCTAGATGTTGCAGCTGTGTGAGGAGCCTAGTTCAAGGCAGTAGGGAGATTGAAGGCTGATGAGCAAGTATACACATTTACATATATGTGTGTCTGCATATATATATATATATACGTATATATGTATATATATCACATTTAATTTATACATTTATGCATTTAATTTATACATGCTTACATACATTCACCTATAACCATATACACACATCTACAATCATGTACTCAAACACAGAGAGGCACACAATCAATCTGTGTCACTCTGGTTATTAGTATGCCACCCACCGTCAAGGGGTCAGAAATGACAGTGTTGGCATTTGGATTAAAGTTCCTGCCAAGGAATATTGTCTTAGATGCTGCTGGAGGGCTCAGATCCCTCAGCTTTCCTTCCTTCACATTTTATTGGCCAAAATAGGTCACATGTCTACCCATAAGCCAATCTCTGGTGAGGGGGAGGAGATTATCACACTTAGCTAATTAACTAACTTAACTTAGCTAACTTAACTAATTAACCTGCCCAAGGATTCTGGGAGCTGAAGAAAGGCCAAAGCTCAGGTGTGTGGACACAAAGCAGTGCTCGCTGTCTGACCGTGTTGGTATTTTTCTAAGAATTCAATGGTTGAGGTCTTAAGTAACATCCATCTTCCATAGTGAAAAAATCTGAGTTTAGATTTTTGACCATGAAATCACCACCACAACCAGATATGGCCATTCCCTCACTCCCTGAAGCCTCCTCCTGCCTGGGATGCCTTCTCTCCCATCTACCGAGATGGGTTGGCAGTTTGATTTCATGTATATGGGCTCATCGGCTAAGTATTCTTTTGAAGTCTGAGTGCTTTTGTTTCAATGAATTACCCTTTCTGCCTGTCCAGCTGTCCCTGCATTAAGGCTTAGGGTCCCTTGCAATCACTTCTCAGAACCGCCTCCCCCTCCCAGGCCCTGGTCTCAAGGAAGGAAGCAAAATGGAGCAAATGGCGACTCCCATGAGGCTCTCCACTGACCACCTTCTAGCTTCCTATGGGAAAGTCAGCTCTGCTTCTGACGGGCCGTAACGCTGGCATTGTTCTGTGTTCCCTCAGCTGGCGCAGATCCTGCCGACTGAAGAGAACTTCCTGCTGTGCTTCAGGCAGCACGTGGGCTCCAGTGCTGAGTTCATGGAGGTGAGGCCCCAGACACTGCCTTCTCTCTGCGCAAGGGTTCCCTCCTTCCTCCTGTGCTTAGGAAGGCCCACCGTAATGCCTGGGGATAATCCCAGGAGATGCTACACTGCCCAGAGCTCAGCTACTCGAGGTGTGGGCCATAGCCTAGTATCAAAGGTGTCATCCAGGTTCTTGTCAGAAGGTCGAAGACCCTGCTCCACTAAATCAAAAGGAACATTTTAAGATCCCCAGGTAGCATTCACATACTAAAGATGAAAAGTAAGTGTGGGCCAAGGTTGACTGGGAGAGGGAGGGTGTGTGTGTGTGTGTGTGTGTGTGCGTGCGTGTGTGTGTGTGTGTGTGCATGTGTGTGTGTGTGTGTGCATGTGTGTGTGTGTGTGTGGCATGCAGCTCCCCAGTGGAGACTTTGTGGCCAGCATTTGCAGAGGGAAGGACCTAATTCATTCAGTCTGGCACTAGGATGTCCCTAGTGCCAAAGATGTATATATGTACTAAAGCTGGGAGAGTCAAGGGAGAATTACAGCTTCTAGTATCTCCCAGGTTTGATCTTAAACTGTAGACTGGCTGCAAACTGGGCTCCAGTGTTTTCCTCATATAAAATGGAGTATCAGCCAGGCATTGATGGCTCACACCTGTAATCCTGGCAACACAGAAGGCTGAGAAAGTTCAAAGCCAGCCCGGGCAGGAAAGTCCATGAGACTCTTATCTCCAATTAACCACCAGAAAACCAGAAGTGGTGCTGTGGCTCAAAGTGGTAGAGCCCTAGCTTTGAGCAAAAGAGCTCAGATACAGTGCCCAGGCCCTGAGCTCAAGCCTCACAACCAAGAAAGAAAGAAAGAAAGAAAGAAAGAAAGAAAGAAAGAAAGAAAGAAAGAAAGAAAGAAAGAAAGAAAGAAAGGAAGGAAGGAAGGAAGAAAGAAAGAAAGAAAGAAAGAAAGAAAGAAAGAAAGAAAGAAAGGAAGGAAGGAAGGAAGGAAGGAAGGAAGGAAGGAAGGAAGGAAGGAGAAGGAAAAGAGAGTAAAAACAAAAGAGTATCACCCAGTTTGCAATAGAAATTCTTTGATATCCTTACATCCAAACTGAATATCCAAACTCAGATGTCTCTTAAATCAACCAATACATTAAAATCATGTAAAATGACAGAGATTGAACTATTTTTCCATGCCATAAAAGAGGAAATTCCATATGGTTTGGCCAGTTCAATTACTAATCCTGATTTTTAGCAAACTATCAAGTATTTCTTGCTTCTTTCCTGAGTTCGCACCAGAGCTCTTCCAAGGGTATTTCTCAGCATGAAAAGCAATGTGTACTTGTCACGCAAATTGCCTGTTCTGACACACACTGGACATTAATGTGACTTCAGTTGTCATTCACTGGGTTAAATCCAGTCCCAACTGCCATATGCCCTCCCCATGATTCACTATCTAGAACCATGGGCCAGCCTGCCCAGAAACCCACACAGGCAGAAAGTCAGCTAGAGAGACCCAATTCTTACGGTATATTTTTTGTCAGTCATTTTTTTAAACTACAACTTGCCTAAGCATCAGATAGGGGTTTAATTTTATGGTGCTTTAGAGAACTTTCCCAGCTCTTTAGAGATGGAAAGATTCCGTAAACTGGTGGTTGGCATTCTGGATTCTGTCCTAAATTCTCTTGCCTATCTGAAGGGGAAAAGTCCAGCATACTTTAAAAAAATTGCCAGGTGTTGCTTTTGAAAATACGTTTTTTTTTCTGTCTATAGGAAAGGGAGTATGGGGCTTGGGTAGAGCTCAGAGATAGAGTACTTGCCTAGCATGCTTCTATCCCCAACACTGAAAAAGCGAGGGAAAACCAAAGAAAAGGAAAAAGAGAAGGCAGGGCCAGGTATGATGTGACATGCACCTGTAATCCCAGCTACTCAAGAATCTGACATCAAGTAGATTAGAGTTCAAATCTGGGTTAGGCAAAAAGTTAGTGAAACCTCATCATAGTCAATAAAGCTGAGTCTCATCTATAAAGGAAGCACTAATAGGGGGATCATGGTCCAGACTCGCCTGGGCACAAACATGAGAAATAAATAACTACTGTGAAAAATGGCTACAGGCATGGTTCAAGGGGATGCTTTAAAAAGCACAGAGCTCTGAGTTCAAACTCAGCACTTCCAAAAGGAAGGAAGGAAGGGAAAGGAAAGGGAAGGAGGGAGGAAGGAGGAAGGAAGGAAGGAAGGCAGGAAGGAAGGCAGGCAGGCAGGCAGGCAGGCAGGCAGGCAGGAAGGAAGGAAGGAAGGAAGGAAGGAAGGAAGGAAGGAAGGAAAAGGGGCACTGTTCCTGATAATTTCTTTCATGATTAGAAGTCAGAAAATGACTGGCTTCTACTCCATCCTGTTCTGGGAATCAAAATGATAGCTTTCATATGGTAGACGTCTCTAATGGAGAGCAAAATTCATCACCATCTTCCTTTCTCTTTCTCTCTCTGTCTCCATCTGTCCCTCTTTCTCTCTCAATTATTAGCCACTTCTCGCTTTGTGGTTAAAATGATTCCACACTCATGCTTTTATTCTTCCAAAGCCTGGCATAACTGCAAAGCAGACACCCCCTGGCCCCTACATTTGCTGAAAGCTCACCCTCCTGCACTAATTCCTCCTCCTGGAGTTGGCCATTCATTCCATTTTTATCAGGCAGAAACATGAAATGGCCCCTCAGGAGCCCTGAAAGGCTTGTGCTCTGGGACAACTCTGTCCTACTGCTCAGCACAAAATGTAATGTCTAATTTTAGGGAAGCCTCAGGACTTCTTTGAGATTCTACAAAGCCAGGGTCTCTTGAACTTGGTTCCTTGAATGCAAAGAGAATAAGGACACTGATAGATCAGCTCAGAGTACTGGAAGGAAAAAGGAGTCCAGCCAGGGAGTCCACAGCCAGCATGGGGTGCAGGGTGAACTGAGGGAGGGAAGATCTGCCACGGGATCTAGAAGAGCAGCCTCTGGATGCCTTGCTCTGTGGAAGAACTGAGGAACCATCTCCCCAAGTTGTCTATAGTAAGTCCACTAGGATTTGCTCATGTCTCGTAAGTTTAAAATCAGGACCAAAGTTTGATGTGGTAGATAGTGCAGCCTATAATTCCAGCAGGAATTGCAGGAGACTGAAGCAAGAGGATTAAGAGTTTAAGGCCAGCTTGAGCTACACTCGAGATGCTTCTCTCTCAAAAAAAAAAAAAAAAATCCAATGCAGGCACCAGGTGCCGGTGGCTCATGCCTATAATCCTAGCTACTCAAGAGGCTGATATCTGAGGATCACAGTTCAAAGCCAGCCAGGGCAGGGAAGTCCCTGAGACTCTTATCTCCAATTTACCACCTGAAAACCAGAATTGGTGCTGTGGCTCAAGTGATAGAATGCTAGCCTTGAGCTGAAGAGCTCAGAGACAGCAGCCAGGCCCAGAGTTCAAGCCCCACGATGAACAACAACAACAAAAATCCATACCAAAAATCTCCTAACGTAAGCACTAATATATCATGAAAACTCTACTACCCTGGTAGATGATATAAAAGAAAGACTCTAAATTAGCCATAAACTCTTAACAGTCTGGGCAGGAGATAAAATTTAGGACTGGTGATTCTGACTCTCAGGAAACCAAGTACAGTTGGAGTTCAAGGGTATGATTTGCAGCTAGGGGATGTGAAGGGAAGAAAAGCCAAGGGAACAAAACTTGAAAGAAAAATCTAAGACCTATAAGACACCAGAATAGTCCAAAGATTTAGGAGGAGGGGGAACTCTGGGCAGCAGAGGCCCCTTCCTGATTCCTCATTTCTGCCAGATGGCTTTTGGGTAAAGGCTGGGTCTCTGCGCACTTGAATACAGGACGTGTGTTCTTAGGACATTGTATTCATTACTTATGACCCTATAACAAATTAGCTCCAACATTTAGCAGCCTAAAGCAATCAACTACTTTCTTTTAATCTTAGAGTTTCTATGACTGAGAATTTGGGGATATCTCAGCTGGATGGTTCTGGGCCAGAATGTATGGTCAGGATACCAACTGGGCTGTGCCCCTCTGAAGACGTGACTTGGCTGGAAGATGGGACATCTTCACAATGGTCAGATCCTGTCACCTGATGAAACTGTCTCTCTTTGTCAAGGACACAGTTACCATGGCCAACAGGCTGGGCCTGGGTTTCCTATAGGGATCCAATACATGACCAAATAATTAGGGCTCAGATCAGAACCACTATGGGATGGGATCAGGGTGGCATCTGATTGGCCAGGCATAGATCACATGCCCACCCTCCTTCTGGAGATCAACCTTCCTTGAACCATGTAGTGCAGAGAGGGAGAATGTTGAATAAAGGTTCAGAGATAGTCTAAAATAAGTGATTGCTGTTTCACCATGAGACATGACTAAAAGGCATTATGATATAGGAAAGGAAGCAAGTCTGTTCCTGTCCCTGTTAGAGAGTGCTCTCCAATCTCTAGCCTCCACTTAGTCTGAGACACTTGCAAAGCAATAAAAAGATACCCTATACTCCAAACAAAAATATAACCCACCAGATCTTTGTTCTAGTCCTGGTGGAGACTTTCAGGTTAGAAAGTGTAGACTGTAGTTTTAAGGTGATCTACAAAAGGACCAAGACCTATACCATGTTAGAGTAGGAGACCTTGGCAAAGCAATTTTCCTCCCTTTTGGTGTGACCTTAACTAAGAGACTGTCCATCTCTTCCTCCAGAACATTACAGGGACTGGACCATCTCCTTGCCCGTATCCCCCCTTCCCCACTGCAATGCTCTTGAATACCAAGAGCCTGTCTGGTTCATTAAGGAGAATTGGAAGGGACGTGTGTAGGTCTTGAGATGTCTTTGTGAATGGGTTGATATTCCCATTGCAGGCCTGGCGGAAGTATGACACAGACCGGAGTGGTTACATCGAGGCCAATGAGCTCAAGGTAGGTTGGGCCTCGGGAAGGACAGAGAGCGGGAGAATAAGGCTGGGGTCAGCGTTGCAATGGGTTTAGGAGACCTAGGGAGGAAGAAGACATGGGCAGAGACACTGCTTTGCAGTGCCCAAGCCTGGCACAAAATTGTTGGATTTGCCCCGAGAAGCCTCGTGAGGTCAGGGATGTTAAGCCAAACTCCACCCCCTCTCCACCCAAGAGCCCAAGACAGACTACCGAACACCTCCAATCTTCTCTAGACAACCCATGGTTCCTGGACACTGGCTGAGCCCTGGGCTCTGAAGGGTGAACCAGTCTTTATCACCTATTCTGTGGGCAGACTTGTACCCAGGAGCTTCAGGGTCCCTCCACAAGGGCTAAGACATAGAGGAAGCATGTAGGACATACACTGTATAACTGGTAGACCTTGAGAAACCAGCTTGACTGTTTGAACAAACAATGATGAGAGATCTTATGAATGACTTGAGCTCTGACCAGGCCTTTCTTGTTCCAGGGCTTCCTGTCAGACCTGCTGAAGAAGGCCAACCGGCCATATGATGAACCCAAGCTCCAGGAATACACCCAAACCATAGTGAGTGACAGAAGCGTCCGCCTCCCAGGGCACGGGACTTGGGTCTCAAAGCCACTGAGATTCATCTATCCTAATTACCAGGCCTTGTCAAGTGAGGCCTGGCAGTAGGCCTCACATGCCTCAGAGTGCCCATGGGGCTGACTCCTGGGACAGTTTGAGAGTGGAGGGCATCTGTTTCCATGGCAACTTCTCAGCTCTGGGAGAGGAAGGACCCTTGATGCTAGCTGCTACACATCAGTCACGCCCCTCCCATCCCCAAGAGTCTCCATTGTGTCTCCCATGACTGATTTAGACCATACTGGTCCCTGATTGCCAGGTAACCTCAGTGAAGGCCTGAGCACACTCCAGCCTCCTCCCTCCTCTCCTCCCCAGTGAAAGGAAATGGCAAGTTAAAGGCCCCACGTGAAAGGTCAGAGCAAATAACCTCAGTACGCCTTTCTGTCCCCACCAGCTCCGGATGTTTGACTTGAACGGGGATGGCAAATTGGGCCTCTCAGAGATGTCCAGGTGAGGACCTTCCCTCCTTCTTGGTGTTGCTTTGAACAACTTTCTGTACTGCTGTCACCCATCACTGAGAGCAGCTTTAGAATTGGAAACATCAACATATCACTTTGTCCATCTCCCCCTCTTCTCAGCTCCCTACCGACTCCTGATTATAAAGTGATCAGAACCTGTTTCCACAGCCACAGATGCTGCCTCTGTACCTCCTAATGGTGTGTCCATTGCCTATGCCCTGTCTACTAATCTCTGCTCTAATGGTTTCTTTCCAGGCTCTTGCCTGTTCAGGAAAACTTTCTGCTGAAATTTCAGGTAAAAGAGCCATTTTGTTTTTTCCTGGCTTCTTCCCTTCCCCTCATCTCTCTGAGCTTCAAAGCTTTTCCTTAGCACTGATCCAACATGCATACACAGACACACACACAGTTGCTTACACACTCACTCTCATACATTCAGATAAGACTCACAATCCTGGGCTTTTGTTACAGGGCATGAAGCTGACCTCGGAGGAGTTCAACGCCATCTTCACATTTTATGACAAGGTAAGAGGGAACAGAGTGGGGGGGGGGAGTAGAGCCCCCAATATGGAGAGGCCCTGGCCAGAATGCTCAATAATATCTGATTTCCAGAGGGGGCCTCTGGGCCATGTAGTTTCTTTCTATAGCATTTTCTGAAAAGACAAATGTCATTCTTGATCCTTGGCCTATCAAGCCCAAGGATTTGGTTTCTTAAAAGCACAGCAAAGGGCTGGGAAGGTGGCTTAGTGATAGAGTGCTTGCCTAGCATGCATGAAACCTTGGGTTTGATTCCTCAGGAACATATCAGCAGAAAAAGCCAGAAGTGGCACTGTGGCTCAAGTGGTAGAGTGCTAGCCTTGAGCACAGAAAGGCCCTGAGTTCAAGCTCCAGGATTGGCACCAAACAAACAAACAAACAAACACAGCAGAAAGTATTTATGCAAGACAGTTAGCAATGCTTAGAGCAGGAGTGGGTCATTCTGGCTCCAGGTCATGATGTTATATGATAGCCAGTTGTTTTCCTAGGACAGGGAGATGACCTCTTTGCTACAGACACTCCTTCCTTAACTGTCCCCTGGCCCTGTGACTTTCCTGGTCTTCTTTACAATCAAAGGATTGGAGGTTGACTTGAGGCATCCCCTGGATACAAGGAGTTAACTGTTGTCTCCTGGAACCACATTTATATTTTCAATGTAAATAAGAAATACCACACACCGGATGCTTGTTGCTCACTCCTTTTATCCTAGCTATTCAGGAAACTGAGCTTTGAGGATCATGGTTCAAAGCCAGCCTGGGCAGGAAGATCTGTGAGACTCTTATCTCCAACAAACCACCAGAAAACCAGAAGTGGCGCTGTGGCTCAAGTGGCAGAGTGTTAGCCTTGAGCTGAAGAGTTCAGGGACAGCGCCCAGAGTCAAGCCACATAACTGACAAAAGGAAGCAAGGAAGGAAGGAAGGAAGGCAGAAAGCAAGCAAGCAAGAGAAAGAAAGAAAGAGAGAGAGAGAAAGAAAAAAGAAAGAGAAGGAAAGCAAGCAAAAAGAAAGAGAGAGAGAGAGAGAGGAGAGAGAGAGAGGGAGGGAGGGAGGGAAGGAGGGAGGAAGAAAGACCACAGGGAAAGCTACCAAGAGTTTATACTGAGAGACCTCATTCCTGCACTAACTGGGAAAGACAGAATTGACACATTACACAGAATTACACAGACGGAACCTTTTGTAGAAAACATGAGATTTGACTACGGACGCTCTGTGATGGGGGGGAAACAAATCAGGCCTCAGTCAGATAACTGGGGCCTGGGTCTCAGAGCTCTGAGCTGACTCTCTGCTGCCACCCGCAGGATGGAAGCGGCTACATCGATGAGAATGAGCTGGATGCCCTTCTGAAGGATTTGTATGAGAAGAACAAGAAGGTGAGCAAGGGAACAAGGGGAGGTACTCAGAGCTGGGGGCGGTGCTCAGAACATCTTGCCTCGTTTTGCTCTTTTCTGATCTTCCATAGTAAGGCAATGGAAGAGTCTTGATTTTTGTTTATATCTAGTTTGATTGTTGACTTTTAATAGAATCGGGGTAAATAAAAATAGTCATAACGAAGTTTGCCATCTTAACCATTTTAAGTATGTAGTTCAACCATTTTAAATATATCCATCCTGTTGTGCCATCATCCCTTCCATCCATCTCCAGAACACTTTTAATCTTGAGAAACTCAGGCTCCATACCCATTAAATGCAAACAGCCCATCCTCCTCTCCAGTCTCCTGGCAACCTTTCTACTTTCTGCCTCTGTGAATTTCTCTACTAGGTACCACATAGAGGAGAATTCTCTAATTTCTGGCTTCTTTCACTGAAACTAATGCCCTCCAGGCTCATCTGTGTTGTCGCATGTTAGAATTGCCTTCCTTTATAGATCTGAATAATTGTGCCTGTACATATTAGCCCCATTGTGTCCACCATTCCTTGCCGATGGGTATTCCAGTTGCTTCCATCTGTGGGTTGGGTGACTGACATTGCCATGAGGAGATGATGGTCTCAACAAAGGGCAATCGCCTATGATGACTTTTAACACAAAGAGACATGTTGGAAGGCAGGGCCCGACAGGAGGTGAGGGTTCTTCTGAATTGATCATTTAGGATCCATTGAAGGTTTAGCCCTCTCCAAGAAACGACGAAGAAGTGGTTTCCATTCTTTTGCATGGTGTTGCCTCTTGGGCATCCCCCAGGGACTCTGCATGGGCTGTCCTCGGGCGCCCGGGATGTGAAGAATCAGGTAGAACAATAGCCCGCAGACAGCCTTCTCCACTGTCTTTCTTCACATCCTGGAAAAATGTCTTTCATGGAGCAAATGGTCTTGCTTCTTTCTTTAATTAGATGGTGAAAGCGCTATAATTCCTTGAGCTGTCTAACTGCCTAGGCTGCCAAGCAAGAGCTAAATTTAAGGCTCAATTTCAAGGGAGAAAAAAAAAATCACTGCAGCCTCTGAGTCTATCTGTCTCTCTTTGCAAATGCTCTCTGAGCCTTTCATCTTCATCCTGAATAGCACCCTTCATTTATTTCACCTCGCATTTATTTTTTATGTTACCTACAAGTGCTTTTGGAAAGAGACAGCAAATAAGGGATAAAGAATCAAATACTTCCCAGGAAGAAGGGAGCCTTCACCAGGTATTGGAATTCAGCAAACTTCTTCTTAACACTATATCCAAGTACAAAATTATTTATGTGCGTAAGTGTCCAAAGGGATGCTTACCTGAGTGGAAAACATAACTTTCATTTAATTGCATTAATGAAGCATACTTCATCTTTATAGGGCTCTGCCAGACATCTAAGATTGATAAGAGTCTAAAGATGTTCATTCAATCTCAATGAAGGCTCAATTTAGTGGTATATGATTGTGGTCTCAAAGAGGGAGAAGTAGAAGGATTTTGATCAAAGGTTGCTCTGGACAAAAGCAAGAGACCCTATCTGAAAAACAAACTAAAAGCAAAAGAACTAGGGTATGGCTCAAATGGTACTTGTCTAGCAAGCATGAGGCACTGAGTTTAATTCCGGCCAAAAAAAAAAATCTCTGAGTGACATGAATAGCCTGGTCTTCAACTCAAGAGAGTCTTTCTTGATGGACATGAAGGATAACACATGAGCAGGACAGGTGGACTCCAGATATAGAAACAATGGCAAAGAGGTGTTGAGATTTGGAAGCAAGTCTGCAGGTTCAAGAACAGGATATTACTAATATAGCTGTATCTGGGTGCCTTCCACCTGTACCATACCCCAGTTTGGCACCTGGAGATGAGGGGAATGAATTGGTAGAGAACACTCACTACAGCACTGAATACCAGCACCTGAGCAGGGGAGGGAAAGGCCACTTTTGATGAGCCCACATAGCAGGTGCACTTCCATTTTGAAGTGGGTAGATGGTGATAAGGCTTCTGAGTGGGCAAATGCTGGAAGCTCTGGAAACTGGCTAACAATATCTCTTAGCCATGGCAACTTGCTAAAAACCTTTTGATGTTTTAGGCAAACCTTGGGAACTCTCCCTGGTGCACTTCACCCCTGCACTTGAATTTTCTCAAGTTTGGGGGAGGGCCCCTTCTTTGGCTTTTAAGTGAGTGGCAGATAACTCAGCCACACTCCAATGATACAAATTAAATGGCACTTCCAGAAACATTTCAATAGAAGCACCCCCCCCCATCCAGGTCAGAGATGCTTTCAAGCATTCTTGGTTTGGGCCGTCACCAGAAAGCCATAACATGAAGAGATGTCTCTAAAAAGCAAAGAACAGGGCTGGGAAGGTGGCTCAGTGGTAGAGCGCATGCCTTGCATGCCAGAGGCCCTGGGTTCGATTCCTCAGCACCACATAAGCAAAAAGAAAAAAGCCAGAAGTGGCGCTGTGGCTCAAGTGGTAGAGCGCTAGCCTTGAGTTAAAGAGCTGAGGGACAGCGCCCAGGCCCAGAGTTCAGGCCCCATGACCGGACCCCCCCAAAAAATAAATAAATAAAAAATAAAAAGCAAAGAACACAAGAACATGACTGATATTTGAGGACTGAGAAAGAGGTGACTGAGGACAGATGACCCTAAACACTTAGGTGGGGTTCAGGGATAAGGGACTAAGGATATTTATACTGAATTGATCCAACGTTTGTCGTATCTTCATATCTCCATTTTTCATTAGCAGAATGGAGATTGTGACTCCTCGACCTAGAAGGGGAGGGCTTTTTAAAATATCATCTAGTGATTTTAATGTAAAAGGTTAAAGAGAAGAGAAAGAGAAGAAGGAGGCAGGAGGAAGGGAAAGGAGTGAAGTAGAGGAAGATGTGAAGGAGAGACAATCTTCCACTGTTGATTTTGCTAGATTTCAGGCTCATTGGCTTTTTGCATCCAAAGCAAATACTTAATATAAGGCCTATCAGTGTGGGTATTCTGTTTCATCTTAGTCTCCATTTATAAGGATTATGGGCTTATGTTCATGGATCATGTGTCTCAGAGGCTTTTGCAGACATTAGCAGCCAATGGGTGAGCGAGAAGTAGGCTGGTGCCAAGCACTGGTGGCTCAAATCTGTAGTCCTAGCTACTAAGGAGACTGAGATTTGAGGATTGTGGTTTGACGTCAGCCTGGGCAGGAAAAGTCTATGAGACTCTTATCTCCAATAAACTACTCTGAAAAAAGCCGGAAGTGGTACTGTGGCTGAAGTAGTAGAGCGCTAGCCTTAAGCACAAAGAGGTTCAGGGACAGCTCCCAGGCCCCAAGACCAGGAAGGAAGGAAGGAAGGAAGGAAGGAAGGAAGGAAGGAAGGAAGGAAGGGAGAGAGGGAGGGAGGGAGAGAGAGAGAGAAAGAAAGAATGAACGAGAAGGAAGGAAGGAAGGAAGGAAGGAAGGAAGGAAGGAAGGAAGGAAGGGAGAGAGGGAGGGAGGGAGAGAGAGAGAGAAAGAAAGAATGAACGAAAGAACGAAAAGAAGTAAAGAAAGAAAGAAAAAAAAGAAAGAAAGGAAGGAAGAAGGAAAGAAAGAAAAAAACAAGCAAGCAAGCAAGCAGGCTGATGAGTTTTATATTCAAGGAAACAAAATTTTTTGTTTAAATGTAGGGAATTTTGATCCAGTATACTTGGAGCCAAGACCAGGGAACTTTCCTGATTTCCATCACCCAAATAAGGGGAGCCCCAATAAGACAGAAAAGTAAAGACAAGTTAAATATTGTATCGTTAGCAACTGTGGGTACACTGGTCCCCCTGCTGGGAATTGCTGAGCATGAGTGTTATACCAAGTGTTTGTATCTATTCCCTCACTCCAGCCTAACACCGCCATGTAGAAGGTACTATTCGTTTATCCCTTTTCTAGGTGGAGCAGCTGACTGCCTTCTCTAAAGCAATGCAGCCAGCACTTGAAAGAGCGTTTTAACCTAAAATCTATAGGATTCCAAATTCCCTCTAAGCCACTTACCCTGGGACGAGTGGAGAGGAGGTTCCGGGTGATGTGTGCGATGTGCGGAAGGGCTCCCTTGGGTGGAGCCGTTGCTGAGCCTGCTCTCACCCTCTCCTTCCATCTCCCAGGAAATGAACATCCAGCAGCTTACCAACTACAGAAAGAGCGTCATGTCCTTGGCTGAGGCGGGAAAGCTCTACCGGAAGGACCTGGAGATTGTGCTCTGCAGTGAGCCCCCCATGTAAAGAAATGGCCGTGGGAGCTGCTTCCTTCCCCCAAACCCTTCCCTTGCTCCCTGTCACTTCTCCCCAGACCAGAGATAGATCGTGAGCACCCTTGCCCCACCCTGGCAACCTGCACATCTCAGCTTGCAAACAGGAAGGCGGGATGGCGAATGGGTGATGGATGGGGCTCTTGTGAGTCAGCTCCAGCCCAACCCTGACCAGACACAGGGCTCTGCCCGCAATGGTCACCAACTGCATGAATGGTGGGGGGGGTGTGGGTACAGCTTCCCTAGTTCTCTTTGCTGTGGTGCATGTGTGCATTTGCTGTATGATTTAGGCTTTTATGTCCAACAGAGTGGCCTCTTTCCTCCTGCTGCCTCCTGCCTTTCCTCCTGGCCACTACCCACCCCAACTTCCAAGTTCCACCCACCATCTTGCTCATGGTGTAGCTGTTGTCTCAGAGTTCCTGCTGTGGAGGGCACTGGCCCTCTTCTTGCCTTGTTTACTCGTGTGCTCCTTTTCTCTTTGGGTTTCCTGTCTTCTTGTTTACCAAAGAAGAGTTTACAGACAATAAAGTGGAAACACTCTGCTGTGGAAAGTCACCCAGTTCTTGTCAAAGGGGGAAGGCTTCCCTCCTTCACTGGGGGAGAGCCTGGTCTCATGTGAGGTGGAGGAGGGGACTGTGATCAATTAGTTTGGGTATAGGGCCCCAAACTCTATGGATTTCAGTCATTTCTTTCGCCTGTCTCTACACCAACCTGAGTCACTTCTTTGTTCCATGTTTATCTCTCAGATTACAATAGCCATTACCCATTCATTGAAGGCTTGATAAGTCCAGGTGTTATGCCAAAAAAGGTGACCTGGAGATCATATACAGTTGTCTCCCTGCTATAGTCAAAGCAACAAAAGATTACAAAGGCTGAGTGATAACCCCAAGTCTGGTGGCAGAGAACCAGGATATGAATCCAGCAGACTGAGACCATAGTCTAACCATTCTCTTGTCATAGGGGCTCAATTAGGGTGTGGCAAAGGTAAAAGTAGATGATTCCCATCAAAGAGGAGAGACCTCCAACCAGGAGTTTCAGATAACTATGTGCTTACGTTTTCCTGCTCAAAGTGCAAACTATGCAGCAACATCTCTTCAGATGCCCTATGCTATACCGCCAGCTTGTCCTGTGGGTTCACAGAGCTGTTTGAGAGCCTAGAATAGAGATCATTGATTTTTTAAATGTTTATGAATTGATTGCCTAAAGATATGTCTAATGCCACAATAATCCTCTGATATGGATACCATTTTCAGATGAATAAACTGAAGCTCAGTGGCATTAAGGAACTTGATCAAGGTTCTATAACAACAAAGTGACAGGCCTGGGCCTTAGGTGTGGGTTGGTTTTGACTCCCACGTTGTCTGTGGAAATGTCCCTTGAGTTGATATCTAGGAACTCACCAAAGATGACAGAGCACTGAGAATGCTGGCCATCTGAATCATAGAAACCTCATTTCTTTCTCAGCCATACCTGTGTCTGAGAGAACTTCACCCAGCTCCTTAGGGATAGCCTAAGGATCCAGCTGACCTCTGTCTGCCTGCCCACAGCTGAATGTGCAAGAGTGGACACCTGATCCCCGCTGAACCTGCCAGACTCTCCTGGGATTTGCGGTCGAGACCTGGGCTGCATGGGGTGTGGTTCTGAAGCTGGATGGAAATAGGGCTTTAAGACTACAGGTCGTACTGCAGATGCTTGACTTTGGATGCTGGGAAGAGCAGAAACTACAATCTTGGGAAAGGGAGCCAATCAGATAACACTGGAGGACATTTACAGAGGAAAATACAGGTGGGAAACCAAAAGCCAAAGAAGGAAGAAAAGAGGGAGGAAAGAGAGAGAGAGAGAAGTAGGGAGAGAGAATGAGCAGTCGATGGCACTATGACAGCCACCTAGCTTCCCTCGTCTTCACCCAGGGTCTTCCTAGATGAGGAGCAGCAGCCAAACTGTGTCCTCTAGCACCCACTACTCAGAGCCTTAGATCGAACCCTCCACTCTCTGCCCCATGGATAAGATAGGTGAACTGGTCGCCATAGCCTGAGATCTAATACAATGGGGAAGAGCTGAGTCCTTTCTATCTAGTTGTGTGGCATTTGCTGGAGCCCTTTCTTCATCTATAGTCGAGGAAAATTCGTTCTCTCAAGAAGATACAGTCTTTTTATAAAGGAGCTCCTTTGGTGAACTCTGTACATAGGTACTTATCCAGAAGGGACAAGGGGAGAGAGGAGAGCGATCCCACAGGCCTTCAGGGTACCCATCACTACTGGTTGTGTGCCTCTCTCCCTATTCAGACGACCATACCAGGTGAATAAGGATAGCATTGGAATGATCATTCTGGTTTTTTTGTTGTTGTCGTCAGCTGTGAGGTTTGAACTCTGGGCCTGGGCGCTGCCCCTCAGTGCTTCAGCTCAAGGCGAGCGCTCTACCACTTGAGCCACAGCGCCACTTCCCATAGCATTGGATTGATTGAAGTGTCTTTCTGCCCCATGAATGCCAACCTTTGTTGCTGCCTGATTCACAAAACACTCTAGAAGGCAAGTATAAGCCATCCGAGGAAATCCCACCCCAGCCCCACTCCGAGGAGAGGCCAGGATCCCACCATTTCCCACTTGAAAGGGAAGCTCCAATCCCAATGGTGAATGCAAACAATACCACAGCAACAATACCCAGAGGAGAGCTTTCAACCCTAAAGCTGGTTTCTTCTGGGAGCATTCTGTATTTACATAATGCCCATTCAAATGTTTATTGAAAGTCAAGCACAAATCTATATAATTCTGGAGTTTGGAAGGGAGTTGTAGTCCATCAGACCCAATCCAGAATGGTCCAGCACTGTCACACTGATTCTCTGACACCTGTTGAGAGGTTACCTTTGGGGCCAGGGAGGTAGGTCGGTGATGGAGAACTTATTTATCATATATGAGATCCTGGATTGGATCCCCAATACCATGAAAAGGGAAGAGGTTAAGTCCTTTGCTAGATCCCTTGTATTTATGTATATTAGAAACATAATATCTAAAGTTATGCTAATAGCATTTTGAGGTTGAGTCTTCCAGAGGTAATTAGGATTTGATGGAGTCATAGGGTAGGGCCCCCAAGTATAAGAATGAGAGAGGGGCCGGGCACCAGTGGCTCACGCCTATAATCCTAGCTACTCAGGAGTTGAGATCTGAGGATCACAGTTCAAAGCCTGCCCGGGCAGGAAAGACTGTGAGACTCCTATCTCCAATAAACCACTAGAAAACCAGAAGTGGTACTGTAGCTCAAGTGGTAGAGTGCTCACCTTGAGCTGAAGAGCTGAGGGACAGCGCCCAGGCCCAGAGTTCAAGCCCCAGGACTTGAGAGAGGGGAGCTAGCACGCTTGCTCTGACTAGCTATATACTACCCTCTGCCATGCTCTGGTGCAGCAATAAGGCCCTCACCAGACACTATGCCCTGTCCCTGGACTTCCTAGCCTTCAGAACCATGAGTTAAATAAACCTCTGTTTGGGGATTTTTTTAATAAGTCATCCAGCATTCAATTATAGCAACAGAAAAGGGACAAAAGCATCTCTCTAATGGCTTGAGTCCCTCCAGGCAACTCCATTAGCTGTCCTAGCATCTAACAGAGGGCAACAGAAGCACTATTAGGAGTGAGAATCGAGCCCAGGGGCTTGAACTCTGCTCAGTGAGTACTAATGAGGACTCTGCTCAGCGCCTCAAAGTTATAGGATGGAGTTCGTTACATCCTCTGGAACCCAAGGCTATGTGGGACTGTTTCCTAGAAGCTGCTGCTCCATCTACTGGCTGAAACACTGGGAAGAACTTTAGAGGGCTCAGACCTACTGCCCATTCTTTTTTTGTATATTTTCCTGGCAAATACTTTCTATCCTGTGTCACATGGGAGGGTGGGTAGTAAGAAGGCAAAGATATGGATGGTCGGGAGGTCAGGTCTGCTGGCACTGAGAAGCAATGACCCTGGTCACTCAGGATCATGTGACCCCACAGAGGCCCTCCCTTGGTGTGCCCCAGGGACCAATAATCCCTCTTTGAATTGTTAATGAGGGAATCATCCCTTCCTCTGGGAACCCCCCCCCATGTCTAGGCTAGACTCCAGATATTTACTTTTTCCATGGAGTTTATTCAATAACAAATACTGTATTCATGAAACTCTAGAAAGGTATAAGGGCAAGATAGGTAAGACACACAGACACACACACACACACACACACACACACACACACACACACACACACACACACACACACACACTGAAAAGAGGCCCTCAGTGCAGCAAGAGGGAGATTCTCTGAAAGGAGGCTTCAAGTACAGACCTGAATGAAGTAAGAGTTAATCCTGCTACAATCTGCAGAGAGTCACACAGAGAGAATGGCAAGTGCAAAGGCACTAAAGTAGAAGAGTTCTTAGCATGCTCAGGAAAGAAGATCATGGGGACAGGGAGCTGGAACAGAAGGTAGAAAGAGTGAGGACAGTACTTGAAGTTGGGGAAATAGGCAGGGTCAAGTCCTGCACTTCCTTGGGGGCCACAATATAAAGAGCTTTGGCCAGATGATGGTGGCTCATACCTGTAATCCTAGCTACTGAGGTGGTACAGGATTTGAGAGTCGCAGTTCCAAGGGCAGGAAAATCTGTGAGACTCATTTCCAATTAACCACACAAAAAACCCAGAAGTAGAGCTGTGGCTCAAGTGGTAAGACACTAGCCTTTAGTATAAAAGCTCGGGGATAGAATCTAGGCCTTGAGTTCCAGCCTAGGATTGGCGTGCACACACACACACACACACACACACACACACCTTTGGATTTTTGGGGGGGAGTGTCAGGAGAAGCCATGAGAAAGGAGGAGCTAGTGACCTGGCCCCAAGAAGTGTTGATGGAGGTTACATTTAATACTAGATTCTGGATCTAAGATTGAAGCAAAAACACCCTGCTAGAGATCAGATATGGGATAGAGGAGAAAGCAGGGAATAAGACAGAATGCAAAGCTGTTGGCTGGTGAGGAGCTGGGGTTTTCATCTCTGTTGAGATACGAGCAGGAAACAGGTGGCACATTTGCATCAGAACTGCTTGAGTCTGGAGAACTATTTCCCAAGGTGTGAATGTGGCATGGAGGAACCATAGACGGTACAGTGAGTAGCCAGGGCCGACATATGATCTTCATGCCGCCATTTCAAAGCTGGACAAGAGGGGAGCTGGTCTCCCACCCATGGAATGGGAGATAGGGAAAGGGCTCCCTCTGGGAATAAAAACGGGGAGGTGAAGGTTAGGATAAGCCTTTGGCTTATCTACATCTGCTCAAATGTTCTTATTCCAGTTTCCAGGGCCTACTCTCTCTCATGGGAAATCTTTCCTTAGTGGAGATTTGCCTCTGTAAACACACAGCTCTGTGCGTTTCAACCCAGGCGTTGTTCGTGGCCATATCTGCACTGCCACCATAGGGCCCTTCGGGGCCCTGCTGCTCCCAATTGTACATCTGTGGTTTGAAATCTCTCTCTTCATGTGTTCTCTAGGGCCATAAGAAGAATCCAGGTGACTCAAATATCTTTCAATCTCCTTTTGCT